CTTTCCCCTTTAGGACTTCTCCCAGAAATTTGCTGCATTTTTATTATTATATCCCCTATTTTATGGATTTGAAGAGGACATTAAAACTTGTCCCTTCTTAAAAAAAAACTTTCTTAAAAAAAGACAAAAATCAAAAGAGATTTTGAGAGGTTGGTGGAAAATTATTGCTCGTCTTTCTCCGCTAGGTGGATAGGAGTCAGAAAGGAGATTTTTACGTAAATTACAGTTTTGTGATTGCTCCCACTATAACTGCACGTTTGTGAGTGGACCCTGATAGGGAATCAGTTCCTCACTTGTACACTATAAGTAGTTACTCACCTACAGCACTGAATAAGAAAGCCACACTGAAGACACAAGTAAACAGGTCAGTCCAGTCTAAAGAACAACATTCAGAAAAACAAAGTACCAACACCTTCTCAGAACATGGAAATAAAAAATAACTCCATCAGAGCTACCTTGCCAAGGAGCATATTTAAAGTCCAAAATAGCACCATTCATCAGTGTCTCAAATCCCGTGGCAGCATCACAATCACTTACCACAAGGAAACCATGAGTTTCATACTACTTCTATACATCAAAAGAGTACATGGATAAAATATAGAGATATACAGACAATCAATGAAAATAAACTACTAGGCTTGTTACATCTAAATGAAAAAAGGGGGACTCTCAGCCTCTGCAAGAAGCAGATTGGGATGGTGGAAATGGAGAAAGCGATTTACCGGTTGTGTGTGAGCAGTGGAGTTTGAGTAGTGGAAGACATTGCTGTGATAGAACCAGGCCTGAGGGCCCACCTGTAATGTTTGTAAACATGGATTCACAGTGTGAAATTCTGAGAGCTTTCGCTTGAGTCAGAATGTTAAAAACTAGTTTTTATGGTACATGTTTGTCCACTGTTATTCTCTAAAGCAAGGCTCAGAGTCCCATAGTTTCTTCTTACACTTGATGATATACACAGAAACAATTCCCGATATATGACACCATGACCTCATCAAACCCATACACCATATGTAATACAAATGGAGGAGTTATGACTAAAAAGAGTAGAGGTAATTGATTTTGGTGAAATGGTGTCCATAGCCATTTACTGGAAGCAGGCATGACCCTTCCACCTCACTTTTCTTCTTGCGATTTACTTCCTTCGAGATGGGGAGACTTCCCTGTGGAGAGGAAAATATGGCATTAGCCATTCTTCAGTGAAGTCTGTTCAATGGGGTCTTCTCCTGTCCTAAGGTTTCCATAGTTCCCTAGCTTCAGTTCAAAAGTAAACATCTACTAAACATGGCTGAATCAATTACAAATACTGCCACAGGGGGCAAAGGATTGTTTAGAAACCAGGAAAGTCTTGCAGAATCTGAAAAAAAAAACTCTTCACTTGGAGATTAATGAATATGCCCCAGCAGCCAAAATGCAAAAGTATTGAGTCAACAGCCATCCTCTACTGCTGAACTGGGGAACTGGGTTGCATCTGTGGAGAACCCAACTGTACCAGCAAGGTTACAGGGGAAGAAGCCATGGAGTGGCAACACTTTCTGCAGGTCACCACCTTACACCAGGTACATCCTTACAGAATTCCTCAAAATTATTTTTCTCACTCCTGACAAAACAAGGCATTTCTGTGCCCTGCATAACAGCTGAGACAGTTCAGGTCTGAAACTACACCTGCAGGTGCCGTGTGTGAAGTAGTTCAGCAATCAAATATGCCTGAAAACGAGTAATTACTGGTTTTGCACTTGAGGCATAGAAAGCAGACACAGAGTCTCAGTGTCATGAATGCAAAGCTCATGGCCACAAATCAACAGATGTCACCAAGCTGCTTTGAGTATTAACAGTTTGGGTAACTAAAAAAAGGAACCAACCCACTTTGAGTAGTGGTAATTTGGGTAACCAAAAAAAATAATGATGTTATCTGCCAATAAATCAATTCATTTGCTTGTTTTTTTAAAACTCCAAGCTCCGTTTTGTGGCTCCACTTGGCCTTCAACGTAAAGTGCATCTTAGCTATGGAAGTACAACTTATTCTTCAGAGAATCTTTTACAGTTTAGACTTGTTATCTTTTAAACACCTTGCAGCTTTAAGCAGCTAACATACACTAATAAGTGACTTTCATATAGTACTTCATTGGAAATAGTACTCTAAAGACACTGTAGTGTGTTACTTGTCTCTGGACAAGTAAGGAGATGGTGAGCCACATCAGCCAGTTGTCTCAGGTTTTCATTAATCATACCTAACTACTTGCTGCCTGAAGTCTATACCTGTCCATCAAAGCGTTTAAATGTGTTTCAGTTTAAGCCTTAGAAAGAAGCCTAAAGGCTAAGCATATGTTTAAAGTGCTTTGCTGATGCTATGTCACTATGGGATCTTAAAAAAAAAAAAAAAAAAAAAAAAAATTGTTTATCTAGTCATGTATTGTAAGTTATGGAAAAAAATCTGTGGGTTTTGTGTTCAAGAGATCAGAATTGTAAAGGTGTTTTTATGCTTAGGATATGCTTGTCACATAAGCAGAATGTTTTCAGTTGTTTAAGAAATTGAACTTATCTTGTTCAAGCTCAATTTTTCTGATGTGAGTTGCAAATTTCCAAATTAAGAATTGAACACATAGCAGTTTCACAACTACTGAGAAAGTGCTATATTCAGCAAATTTCCTTCTGTGGCTCTTCAAAGCTGTAATTTTAACAGGAATGTCCGTATTTGCTACATTTACTTGTGCTGGGAATGAAGTCACACCATGGCTCTCCCATTGTCTTTATCACAGTTTATAGGATAAATTCTTCCTTCAGGAAGATGAACTGAGCCCAGGGTTCTGCACTGCACACAGCCACAAGCAGCTTTCAGGTTGAACATGTAGAGTAAAAACCTTTCCCAGGGGCAAATAGTGCCCTCTCCCTCTGGGGCATCAAGAAATGATGTGCAGACTTTGGTCAGTGCATATCAGAAGGACTCTGTAGGCTAAGGGAAGAAGCAGGAGTAGAAATGTACCTTGCCTTTGCTAGAGATAAACTGTGGATTTTGCAAGAGGCAATTTCAGAATGAAAAAAAAAAATGTTTAAATATTAGTAACTGCAGAAACTTGTTTCCTCACAGGACTTCACAAAATTCCATTCTCGTGATAATATTTTTGCTTTTTTGGTGACTAAATTTGTTACTTGTGCATCATTACAGGATCTGAGAAGAAAACTAGAAATTTACACATGCAAACAGGCACACCACACAGACCAAAGGTCTGGGCAAATTTCCAAAAGCATTGTGTTGGGCAGTTCCTTTTCAGCTGTAAAAACAATCTCAGTCCTGAAATTCTGCCATACAATCATGAGATAAAAAGTCCCATATGACCCTTCTAGATCTGGAAATAAATAGTCTTTAAGAAGTGTATCCTTTTATATTTGTTGATTGCGGGGGGAAGGGAAGGAGAGGAAGTGCACTTTTATCTGACATAGGAGTTCAAAAAATCTATTACTTTTACTTCATAGTTTCAGTAGTTCAAGCTGTTAGCACTGAGTACATAAAACTGTTGAGCTGAAGGACTGAGCACTTTATGCAGGAACCTACCCTGATTAATTTTATAGGACAGATGAAAAAATTAGATTCCAAAGACACCTAGTTTCTGTTCAGGCTCATACTCTGCTGGAAGTTGGACTGTGTTCAGCCAATATTCAAATTGCTTTTGGAGACCTATTGTGAAAGAAAATTTGGAGCTACTTCTGAACACTAGTCCTTGTAAGAATATGCCAAATATCTTTTGAAGAATTACATAAAGGCTAGAAAAAAAGCACTGTATTTAAAAAGCAGGAATACAATCACTTTAAAGGAAAAAAAGTATAATATTTTTTGAACTAGTTGGGAAACAACTATCCCCTTTGATAAACCTTTTTTATAGATATGTACAGCATAAAAACATGGCTCTTAATAAACCCAATGTAATGCAGCATTGTTACTAATTATGCTGCACGGTCCACAGCTTCATTCCTGTGTTTCAGGAGCAGCTTTGTTTAATGGTGAATGACAACTTACTTAAAGGCTGATAACTTAAAATTTTGAATAAAAATAATCTACTTAACACACAGCTGATTCATGAAATTAGCAGTTTAATTTATGTATGACTATTCCTCAGAATCTGGCATTGCTATCAGCCTACTCAGAAGAACTTCTGAAATCTTTGAATGTTAAGAATGGCAGTACTGCCACATATGTTAGTTTAAAGATTAGCATGCTAGCACATGAATCTGCAAATACCAGATGGCAAATAGCCCAGCTATATATCTTAGAAGTTCCTTTTTAAACAAGAGGTGTGGAAAATACAGTGTTATCCAGATGGAATAGCAGAGTTTTGTTAACAGGGAGCTAGAGTCCAGATAATAATTGAAAATTAATTTAAAAGATTCTCCACATGCTTTCCCCTGTACTTACCTGCCATTTTTTATTTTACCAGATTTTGAGGCAGTAATGAAAGGGAATATGAAAATAAAACATGTACGGTCTGTGGTTTTGAGTACTTGTTACATTGTCCTACTCAAATTTCATATCCAGTTTCACATTTATAAAACTAGCAATAAAACCACAACAAAATCTTATTAATATTGTCTGACAAGCCACATCTTCTGCGCTTATGCTAGGGTATTTCTTGTCAAGCTCAGATGAAAATTGCCATGCTTTTTTATGATTGTTGCTCAAGCCAGGTAAAGCACAAGTAGAAAATTTTATGAAAGAAAAAGAAAACCAGCAACGCCTCCTCCTCCTGCATTATTATTGACTTTTTCATCTGCATTGCTAAGACAGAATTGCCAAAATCAAGCACTCAAAACTCAGATGTCAAGCTTGTAATATCATGAGACAAGCTGAAGGAATACAAGCTACTGAAAATTAGTATGTTTTCCTTCTAGTATGTAGCCAGCAAGAGTCCATGTTTTCTGCAAGCTGAAGGCTAAAAACATAATTTTAAAATGAAAGCTGAAATCCCCAGTTAACTGCCTGGCTTAAGGAGCCAAGGCTTTAAGAATAACAGAATATCATGAGACTCGTGATGAAATCATGAGAGCTGGCTACTCTCTTGAAACAGTCATAAAACAAAATCCATTGAACTTTCAATATTCTTGGAGGGATGTCTTTTTTTTTTTTTTTTGCTCCCCCAGAAAACCTTCATTTTAGTAAACTGTTTATTGGATGAAAGGAACTGCATAAATAACTTTACCTTTGGAAATCCCCCATCCCCTCGGCTGGTTGGAAAGATTTTCTGGCTTACCCAAATCATTAACCTTGGCTGATAAACCTGTAGTGACATAAACATAAGCAATTTCTTACTAACAAAGAAAGATTCATTAAATGCAATTAACAGTTCATGTGAGAGGCTGCATTACTAAAAATGAATCTAATGTCATTTGTGTTTGGTCCAGAGACCTTAGCTGCATTTTATGCTCAGTACATATTTTTGAGTACTTGGGTATTTCACCTATATTGTTTATGGCAATCTGCATGGAACCAGCTTTTAAAAAGAGCATAGAACAGATTGTTTAAAAAATCTCTTTAAGAAATCCTGTATAGATGTCCGTACTAATAAACTTACTGAGGACATTGTGTGACCACATGCCCATTGTCTTCTGCCAGGAGTCACTGATGAAAGGCTATTTAATGAAGTTTACCTTTGCTGATGAATGCAGGAGACAAGGCAACACATCTTTGATAATCCTTTCACAATGAACAATGAACTATAGCTTAGTACTTTCTAAGATCACTGACAGAGCTACAATACTGTTACAGCACCCTATATTTTTAGGCATAAAAGGAATTCCAACATAGTATAGAAGACATGCAATAAAATAACTTGCAGCAGGATTTAATGGTTAAGGCACTGGACTAAGTCTGCTATACAAAAATTTTCCTGTGGAAAATGGGTAAGATCCAAAGCCAGCCACTGACTACAGTGGGAAGCTAGAATGAATAAATGCTAGACTAACACAGTGCAGTTACGGTGAATCTGAGATGGAAACCTCCTGTGCTTCAGTTCCTCAACTGCAGGATGAAGATCAGAGCATTTCTTCATCTTGCTCTCATTAAACACTGAAGTGATCAGGTGCAAGCTGCATACAATGCTGAAGATCTTAAATTTATTTTCCTACTGGATCTGCCTCCTGTGTCTTCAGCGTTTTGTGAATTGAACTCTTTCTGCACAATGACTGAATGTCAAACTGTCAATGTTTTGAGCTGAACATTGTAAATTACACTATTCAAGTTTCTTTGCACTTTGGGAATCAAAACTTGCCTTGTCAATTAAATTCCTGATGGACCAACTTTACTCACCCGCTTAGTATGGCATACAGATTGAAACCTGAGGAATGTTTTCATTTCTGTGGAGCTGCATGTTGATCACTAGTTGCCACAACTGCACTAGATGTAGCTTGGGGAAATTATCAGAATATTACTTGAATCATCTTTTAAAGAGAAAATCCTGAACTATATGATAAAGTAGGAAACAGAGAAGGGAAATTTAAAACACAGAACCTAAGGCAGTTCCTGCTCTGATACTTTGTCCCATAATTTTCCACAGGTGAAACCACAGTGCTTTCTGCAGATTAAAGCTTCAGATTTTACTTTGTATTTGAGATTACCATATGATCTCAGTTAAACTCTCTGGGTATAGCTGACATAGAGTAACTAATACACAGCATAAGGCACTTTGTGAATTCACCAGTTAATATTTACATTGAATATTTGGGACAAATGAAAGTTACCAAGTAACCCCTGAGCCACCCTGTTGCTATTTACGATCGCTGATTATTCATCCTGCAACTATGCCTTCAATTTATTGTATAGTAGGGTTTTTTTTTTTTGTATGAAAAACTCACGGTGGAAAACAGCAATAGCAGATCAGCTTTACCACACAACACAACATGCTTACACCAGCAAAGTATACAAAAATGTGTATTTTCCTATAGGAGGAAGGAATAAGCATCAGAATACAGTATTACTCATTATGATGAATGTGAGCTTCTGTATTTTCCATGGAGTCTGAGAGGTATTCAGGTTAACCTTGTCATCCCTATTAATAATTTAATGGAAGTTTAAAAAGCATCTGCAGTTAAATGGCAAAGAAAGGATCATCAACTTAAATTCATAAGAACTTAGAAGGATTGCAGTTTGAAGGTAGGTGTTAGAAATTGGACAGGAGGACAAAGGTTTAGATTTTCAGACACACTCATAACAATGCTCCATGGTTAAGGAACAGAACAAACAAACAAACAAAAACCCCATACACAACTCCCTATCTTTCACCACTGTCTTTCACAGTAATTTTCTGTGGACGAAAAAATTCAGTTAACTCCTATTTTCTTAATATCTCTTCAAAAGAAACTACTATGGCCAATATTAATGGATTATAATCATATGAAACTACTCAACATGCAATAACTGTTCTACTGTAACTGCCAAAGTCCTGAATGGGCAGAAAATGACTTTAATATCTGCCTTGTAAGCAACACTGAAAGGCCAAGAAATCTTGCATCCTGGCTAAGTGGAGGAAGATTCTGGAATGGGAAAAAGTTACCTGTGTAGAAGAGTCCACTTGGGACTTAGTACAGTCCACCAGGATAAAAAAAAAAAAAAAAAATAAAAATCCCCAAAACAAACAACACAACAAACAAAACAAAACAGAAGAAAACAAAGGATGTCTTGCAGTGCTACATCCTTTATAAAATGCAGAAACTACTTAGATGTTCAAATATATGGATAAATAGGGTACTAGAAAACACACCAAGCACTTTTCGTCAGTTACAGCAGCTGAAAAGAACTGATACTAATGTTGCAAGATGAGCTGTAGAGAGAGAAAAAGAGCAAAGCAATGCTGCATTAGAGAGTAGGATGTAAGGCTTACAACGTGCAGCTGTTAGCGTGAAGCAAACACTCCTAAATAAATGCTTCCATTGATACACACCATATTTTCATTTCTTAGTCCTTCCTGTGTGATCATTAAACAAGTACAGCCTTAGCTTAAATAACTGAAGTATCAGGATTCAGAACAGAATTACTGAACTCTAGGGTGGACTAAACACTAAAGTTACTACAAATCTATACAATGCATAACAGTCACATGCTGACCCAAACTGGATAAACACTGGGGAAAAAAAATTCAAACTAGTAAGCTTTATCCATAAATTGCCAGAGTGGATCACCCCTAAACATCTAACAGCACTACTACCCTTGGAAGCCTGTCTTCCTGGCAGCACGTGTGATACACTAACCCATTCATTCCCACTTTGAGAAGTGAGGGGGAAAGAAACCTACTCCTTTATGTCTGAGACAGTGTTGTACAAGTAGTTCCGCCTGAAACATTGAGGCCAACTTGAAACAGAGAATTGTGATCTAAGAAGAACATGTTTTCAATCGAAAACATACAAGTTATAAACATTAATATTAAAAATCAGAAAAAGAAAATGTGGAGGAAAATAAATGCCCAGTCTATTTACTGTTTCTTACAGCATTTAGACTCCAGAACTACTGACTGCTATTTTTTTTTTGTTTTTCAGTACTAAAAGGATTACTAGACTTGATGCTTTCCGCTGCTCAACAAACCAAAAAAAATCTTTCTGCTACTGCAAAGGACAGTTTAATGAGCATTTCAAAAGTCTAATGCCTATTTTTCCATTTTTAGCCACACCATCTTTAAGAGGAGTAGTAGAGGAGTACAAATTTTGTCCAACTTTAAAACAGATAAATAAAATAATGTTAACAGAGATGGACTAAATCTACTGTACCAGTCACATCAAAATGCTAAATTAATATCTTACTACCCACTCTTCATTCCTACTCACTAAGAGAATCTTTCAAACATCCAAATCCATCCATCAAAAGGAAAAAAAAACCCCAGATTTAAGTCATACTAAACTTAGTAAAACGAGCACACTCCTGTTAAGCATTCCCAAGGGTTTTATGGTTAAAAAAACAAGCAAGAGAGCTCTCAGAGTTAACTTTATCTACCTTTTTTCTTTTCATGTGGACCACAACTGAATTCCTGTTCAAGTCTCAGTCAAGATTTATGGGAGTTGAATTAAACTGCAGTCTGGATTTTCAAACTACAAGCTAAACAAAGAAAATCAACTGCTCTGAGTACATCAGCAACCACCTTTTAAGAAGTTTCAGGTAAGTTCTTTATCATATAAACCAATTTGGGGGGGAGGGTGGAGGGGGGTGGAGGGACACGAAGAGAAAATAAAAAGGAAATTATGACAAGTAGTCTAGAAATTCCTAATTACAGGTACAAAATGATCATCTCTAGGAAAAGCTTTACTGTATGTATTAGCAGTTTAATAGCAGACACAGATGGCCCTGTGCTGAGGAACAGGGAAATAAAATGACATGAGTCTGTGTTGAGAAGAAGGGGCATGCTCTTCCGCCCTACACAGCACTAAAACTACACCTCCACAGTTCTGAGGACTGAGAGCCTTGCATGTCTGTAGTGCCTAGTCCAGAAGGGAGAGAGGCTGTCCACCTACCACATTCTCCTGAGGATGGGCTTGCACAGCTGGAAAGGAACTCTGCTCCTCAACACCGTACCTATATTTGTTTAAAGTGGTTTGGGGATTTTTCACCACCGTTACTATGTGTTGCAAAGACACAAATCAGTGGTATTAAGTCTCCTAGAGGAAAAACTGAAGATCATTTCCTTTGCCACTGGTCTTGGCATCACTGCAACTGTCTAGCAGATTTTCTTTCCAAATTCAGTCCTGAAACACTCTCTTTTGAAAAAAAGAAACCAAAACAAACACAAAACCAACCAACCAACCAACAAACCCATACACTGTTGTCTGCTAAGTTTCAACAGTTATAATGTTGCAGTTTTTTTGAAGTTCTTTAGGTACGGGCTGATTTGTACTAGAGTGGTATTTCCCAGAAGGTTCCACCACGCACTTATCAGCCCCCTAAATGCCTTCCACTGCAGCAAAAAGTTCTTTGTAACCAACAGCCCACCAAAACAATCCAGACGCATAAACATAAAAGCTTCGGAATCTTCTGAAGAGGGCAATGACAGGGCTACATCAAAAGTCCTCATCACTACTCCTTAATTCAAAGAGTCAGCGAAGTTTTAAAGAATCAAATGGGATATTGCTGTTGTGGCAGGCTGGTTCTGAAACAGGCTCAGTGCGAAAGTTTCCCTTTTGAAACATCACAAACCACAACCTGCAGAAGTTAAACTGCAACTCATTTACCTTAACCTTATTATTTAAAAATGCAGTGAACATGTGGCTTAACAGGTGTGAGTCCTGTCAGTTTTGTGAA